TCAAAAACAGTCCCTCAAAAGACACACACACACACACACACACACACACACACACACATAGGGAACAATACTTTTCAAAAGCATGCAGATCATAAAAGGCAAAGAAAGACTGAAAACTACTAGAGATTGGAAAAGACTAAATGCAAAGTGGGGTCATGATTGAATTCCAGAGCAACAAAAAGCACCTTTGTGGACAAACTGGGGAAATTCAAATAAGGTCTGTCGTTGAGTTAATAGCATTGTGCCGACGTTAATTTCCTACTTTTGACAATTATGCCATGGTTATGTAAGAGGTTAACGTTGGTTAAACCGGGTCAGGGGTATGCAGGAACTCTGCTGTTTTCACTTTTGTGTAAGTCTAAAATTATTTCCAAATAGAAAGGTGTTTGCTTGTTCTTAAGTGGACAAAGGACTTTTTTAAAAAGTAGAGCTCCAGAATCAGAAAAACCAGTGGGTGCAGTCCTGACCCTGCCTCTTACTGGCTGGGTGATCTTGGCAAGTCATTTATCTTCTATAAGCCTGTTTCCCTACCTACACTGTGGAGCAGAGATTAGCATTCACCTCATGGTGTTGTTGCAAGGACAAAACGAGCCAGTCTGGAAAGAGCTTTGCATAGTTCATTGCACTTCATAAATAAATAGGCCTGTGGGGAAAAACAGAGGAGAGGAACACAGGGATCTGGAGCTGCAGTGAAATGTTCTCGGGTGAATTTTCAACAACGTTTCCTAAGAGGACTTGATCCAGCTGCCCACCTCAGCCCAGGTCCCTTACGGGAAGAGACTGTCATGTAGCATGCCTCCTTCCAGGACATCTATTTTAAGAAATAGATTTTTCTTTGTTTATGCCAAAATGTTAGCAGTGATTATCTCCAAGTAGTAGGACTTTTGTTTTCATCTTTTTTTAAAAATCTATCTGTATCTTCCAGTTTTCCAGTAATGAATGAGCGTAGGGTGGGAAAACTGGTTTGGGGTGTTGCGTGGGTGTGCATGGCCCAGCCCTTGAAAGGCACTGACTGCTCTTTGAGCCGAGAACAAAACAAGCATGAAAGCCGGTGTTTACCGGGTGAGGATGATGGCCCCCAGGAGAGCAGCCACTGCCCCTGAAGCCCTTGAAGAGGAGGCCCCAGGGACCCTCCCCCCTATGGGGTCAGGAGGCCCCCCTCACCTCCGCTGAGAGGCTTCTGCCTCTTCTGAAAAACAAACCCAGGAATGCGCTGCCCTCAGCCCTTCCCTCCACCTAGAAACTCCTATCTGGATGGGGAGGCAGCCTGATGCCGAGTTGGGAGGCTGCAAACATTTCCTGTCAGTCACCATCCTCCTACGCAGCTCAGTAAATAGATGCTCCAAGAGAGCTGTGAAAAGCTGAAGCTGACCCCGGCCAGTGCCAGTGTGGCTCAGTGATTGAGCATTGACCTGGGAACCAGGAGGTCATGGTTCCGTTCCTGGTCAGGGCACATGCCCAGGTTGCAGGCTCGAACCTGGGTCATGTAGGAGGCAGCAGATCAATGATTCTCTCTCATCATTATTGTTTCTATCTCTCCTCCCTTCCTCTCTGAAACCAATACAAATGTGTTTTAAAAAAAACAAACAACACTGCAGCTGAGAGCTGGCAGCCTGAGGCTGCAGAACATATTTGAAATTTTGAGCCAACATTAAAAATGTGGAAGAACACAAGTAAATGTGCAGAAGCTCTGGCAGCACCAGCCCAGCCCTCCCAGCTGGTAACCATTGCCTAGATGTGCCCGGCAGCTGGACTGTGCTGTCAGTTTGCTGCCAGCTCCCCGGACACATCATTCATGGATCTGACCTACCAGCTCTCACTGACCCTGGGTTCAAGAATCCAGATCTTCTTGCCTCCCTGGGGCCACAGAGCTGGTCCCCAGGCCCATGTGGCTGACACTCGGGTTTCTGGTTGCCCTTGAAGAGCTCTTCCCGTACTTCACAGAATTGCCCATTTGGGTATTTTATTTCCTCAGTAAACCAACTGTACTGTGGAATGCTGACATCCTCTCTGAAGGTGCCTGAACCACTCACGTGCCTTTTAAACCCTCTGCACCGAGCCCTGCATCTGTCCCACAGGCAGGGGCCCTCCTGAGGGAAGCCGGGAGAACACGGCTGATGCAAGACCACAGTTGGGATTATGTCACAAAGAAACACCCTTGTGCTGCTGCACGGCAGGCGCTGGACCTCCACTTCCAGCAGCCCCCACTTCCACTCGCCTGGTCTCCCTTGTCAACACTGACACGCATTCCTGAGACCGTGAAGAGCACAGAACAGCAGGACAGGAGTGGTTCCCCGCTTTCCTATCTGCAGCTATCTTCCCCATAGTGGGACGACTCGTGGATCTTAGAAATGTACTCCTTAGCGGTTAATCTTTTTATTGTTATTTTGGTGTGTTTTTTTACCCAAGTGAATTGAAACCAAGATGAGGTCCAGCTAGTTGGGCCAAGAGAAGAAGCAGAGAGCTGATCTGTGTGTCGGCACTCCTCTGCCTCACGGTGCACAGGGACTGGACTCTTACTCTTCCAGCTGCCACTCCAGAATTGGAATCCAGATGTTGACCTATTTTTGAGAAGTGGCAGGATCTGCTCTCACTCAGCCCCTTTCCGACGCCACAATCAGATGGAGTTTAGCAGCTTCGCCTTTCTCTGGGCTGGGCGCTCCGATTTGCCACAGAACCCAGCCCCATGACTCCCTCCTGCCCCGCTTGGCCCACTTACCTGACCTGCAGCCATTTACGTTTGCACGCTGTGATCCAGGTCTGTGCCCCCAGTTTAGAGCCACAGAATCTGAGTTTCAGAGAGGCTAAGCTCCAAGATGGGAGGCGTGGCCTGGGGCCTCCACCTGACCACACACGGGACCCCGACCAGGGTTCAGGGGGCCTTGTGGCCGATGAGAACGAAATAGAGTCTCTGGTGTGGGGCTGCCTCCGGTGACCACAGATGATTAAACTGCATCTAACTGTCCCACCTCCGGGCTGCACTCTGGTGAACTGCCCTTCTGATGTTCTCTTTGCTTTTATGTTTTAAGATCATCTCTATTTTCAGAGGGCTTTCTTAGCCATGATTTCCAGGCAGCTATCTGTGTCACAGGGGCCAAGCACACACGATTTGGAGTCTGAAGACCTGGATTCACATCCTAAGCCCCATTACATATGTCCTGTGTGACCTTGGGCAAGTTACTTCACCCGCTGGGTCTCAGTTCCCCCTCTATGAAGGGAAGTGGAGGCGGCCTTCTCTCTCTCTCTCTCTCTCTCTCTCTCTCTCTCTCTATCTCTATCTCTCTTAGCATGAGACTGTGCTCTGATGCTTTCCAATGGCAATGTGATAAGGGACTAAATGAGCCCGAAGGGTTCACTCCCCTTTCACTCCTCAGCAAATGCAGTGCCCTGTTGTGTCTGGGTAGTATCCCCTCTGCTCCCGTTCTCTGCCCAAAGGTGGGATTCCAACAGTCGGCCCACAGCTCACTCAGGTCCCTGGTCATTGTGGCCAGCAGCAGGTTGCTCATCCACAGCTTGCAGCCACACCTGTGTGACTGAGGTACCTACAGCCCAAAGTAGGGGACGATCTGCTCCCAGCTGTTTTCAGAATCTCTATAGGTGTTTCACAGGGTTAAGAATGTGGACTTTGCAGCCCCGTTTCCCGGATTTGAAGCTAAGTTACTTCACTTCTCAAAGCTTCAGTTTCTATATGTGCAAAGTGAGGCAGCAATAATACTGACTTCATAGGGGGGTTGAGCATTAAATGCATTAACACATATAAAGTGCTTAAAATACTGCTTGGCACATGTTAGGTTGAACCCTATGAAATTACTCATATTTGATGGTGTTTGACCTAAAATATCAGTAGCTTCGTGTGATCTGACCTAATCGTAAGCACCTAGTATGCTTGATGCATGCAGGGCAGACATGTATCCTCTGGTGACAGCCAGTCACAGCTTCCTTTTACGTTACCTGTGTCCTTGAGGTCCAGGCTTTTTCTCACAGATGGAATCTGGAGAGCAAGCAATAAGCACCTAGTATGCTTGCTTAATGCAGGACAGACTGGTGATAGCCAGTCACAGCTACCTGTGACCTTGAGGTTCAGGCTTTTTCTCACAGATGGAATCTGGAGAGCAAGCAGGCATGCTTTGTACCCAGAGGGGAGCAGACAGGTATTTGCACGTGACCTGGTCCCCTTCCTGGGACAGGCATGCAGCCTGGGCAATAGCTGTCAATCAATTCCTTCCCCTCAGAACAAGGGAACATTGTCACATGCCACTGCTGGGGTCCTGGTCCCCATGCCAGCAGTTGGGAGGTTGTGTGAGGGGCTCTCGCCTGTGTGACAGAAATGGGTCAGACCAAGTGGTGCACACCTGTAAGGTATGTGTGCGTCCTCAGCAGCTGCGGTTCTCTCTCGGCCAGGAGCTGGAGTGGCTGCTGGAGATCAACCGGCTCACGCACCGACTGCTGTGCAAGCACATGACCCTGGACAGCTTCGACGCCATGTTCCGGGAGGCCAACCACAACGTGTCCGCCCCCTACGGCCGCATCACCCTGCATGTCTTCTGGGAGCTGAACTTCGACTTCCTCCCCAACTACTGCTACAACGGATCCACCAACCGGTAAGGAGTCCCTGTCGGAGGGGGCGGGGCGAACTGGGGCCCAGGGAGCAGCCAGCTGCCTCCTCCAAACTAGGCCGAGCCCAGGGGTCCGCTCGTCCCTGCCGCAGGCATCTCACAGGGCCCCTCCTGGGTGCAGGCTCTGTCCTGATGCCTTCCTGCCTCTTGGAGCCTTCAGGCCAGATCAAACAATCACACAGTCTGTGAAACGATGTATCACACAGTAAATGTGTTATGATAAGCGGTGAACGTGGAGATGGAAGAAAGCCCACGGAGCCACGAGAGAACAGCCCCACCTGATCCAGTCCGGGGAGCCATGCACACCTCAGGAGAGGCTTCCTCCTCTGAGCAGGCAGGCATGCTTGAGTTGCAGTGCGGAGGATGAGTAGGCAAAAATAAAGCAAAAAGGCAGAAGAGTATTCCAGGCAAAGTTCCTAAGGAGCCAGGGAGCTGGTAAGGGTGGAGCAGGTGGGATGGGGAGTGGTGCCATGAAAGATGCGGCAGGATGCAGGAGGAAGCAGGACCAGACTGGACTGCTCCGCAGACCACATTAGGATCGAGCGTTTATGAACCTTTAAGGAAGGGAAGTGACATGATCAGATGGTACTTTTGTGAGGACATATGGGAATGTATGTGTGCAAACAGGCATATGTGTGCAGAGCACACACACGCATGGCAAAGTGGAGCATGTCTCCTGCAGGTGACCTCAGCCCTGGGCCAGGCACCAAGGTAGAAACAAGACCTAATCCCTTATCCCCACAGAGGTTCAAAACCTGGTGGAAGAGGTGAGAGGTATTCACTTCAAAATAAGTATGTAAGGATGAGCAAAACTGTGCACAGGTCCTCTCAGTATCCTCAGGACTGGCATTCAGTAAGCATGTGCTGAGTGACTGGGAGGTCTGGGAGGAATCCACCGATGCTCCTGAACCCACGCACTTAGCAAGACGCACTTCCTGTTCTCTGAAGATTTGGGACCTTTAATCTTCTTGAGCAAAAGTCTACAAACCCTGGCCCACAAGCCAGAACCAGTTCCCTGCTATTTTTGTACAGCCCACGAGCTAAGAATGGTATTGATGTTTTTAAATGGTGAGGGAGATGGGGAATCCAAAGAAGAATCCTCATGTGTTGGCAAGTGGAAAGTATTTGAAATTCATAGGAACTCAGCCACGCTCATTCATTTACTGTTATTTACGGGAGCTTTCCTGCGACCAGCAGAGCAGATTTATTTGCAGCAGAGACCATCTGGCTGGCAAAGTTGAAAATATTTGCTGCCTGGGCCTTTACAGAAAGAGTTTGCAGAACCCTGCTCTGGGGAAACCCAACATGGGCGTGGGGAGGTGGAGAGGTGGGGCCCTGGAGAAGGCCATTCTCGGGCCCAGCCCACTGTTCTGAGCAGCCACAGGCCCCACATCAAGCCTGTGAGTCTGGACCTCAACTTTCCCATCTTTGGGGAGGAGGCAGTGGTTGGATGGGAGTACGTCAGAGGCACCCACTTAAGAAGTGGTGTGGTTGCACCTGGTCAGGAAGGGCTCCCACTACATCACGTCCCCTGAAGAATATCAGGACTCGGTTAACTCCTGCCCCATCTTTCCTCTCCTAGTTTTGTCCGAACTGCCATTCCTTTCACCCAAGAACCGCAAAGAGATAAACCCGCCAACGTCCAGCCTTATTACCTCTATGGGTCCAAGGTGAGTCGTCTTACCCGGGTCCTACCTCTAAAGGGGCTAGTGAGCAAAAGCAAATAGAAAAGTATTCCCCGAAAGAGAAAAGCAAGGAGTGGAGAAAAGGAGGCAGCAGTGAGATCCAGGCGGAAACGACTGTGAGTTTATTCATCTTTATTAGTTCACAACTAGCAGGGATGGAGGTGAATTCCAGCCAGGGGCTGGATCCTGCGCGGGAACGTTTTGGGGAGGGGAGCGGGCAGTGCATGCATGGGGTTTCTCGTCTTGGCGTTTGCCCTCGCCTCCTGTTTCTCGGCTGATTCAAGGTGGCATCGTCCTGGGATTCTGGGGGTTGTGCTCTATCGATTTAAGGGGTTCGCAGGCAGGAAGCAGTTGGGAAGGGGAAGCTTTGACTGGAGCTAGAACTGAGCAGCTTTGTTCACAAGCACCCATCCTGACGCTACACATTCCCAGTGGTGCCTGTGCTAGACCTTCCGTCCACTGCCATGCGTTGGACAGACATTTATTCAACATCCAGGAAAGGCCAGACACTGGGCTGGGTTTTACATGCTGGGGGTGTAATAGAGATTGAAGCAGACGTCACCGCTGCCCTCCTCAAGTTCAAGTTCCACCTCATGGTGACGACAGGGAGCAACGTTCACAGTCTCCCCATCATGACGGATGGAGGAGATTCGCTTCTTACCCCGGGTGGTTAAGGGAGGACTGAAGAATGCCACTGAAGCGGTGAGGTGTGTCAACAACAAATAAAATGGCCACCTTTGACCCCATTTTCCGATGAGCTTAGAAGAGGAACCGACTGGATAAACATGGCCTTGTTAGGAAAGGTGGTCCTCTGGGCCCGGGAGCCCTGGGTTAGGAAGGGTGGTGAACCCAGATGCACTCCCCCCAGTCGGGCCTAGAGGTGGGGCTTAGAAGGGCTCAGGGCGGTGCTAGGAGGTGTCTTCTCCGGAACAGGCAGTCTGGTCCAGGCAACGTTCTCATCGCGACGCCGACTCACAGCATTTTAGATGGTTCACAGCCACAGCATTAAATCCCAGGGACTCACAAAGTAAGAACACCTCCCTTTCCACTTCTCTTTCAAACCTCGTTGGTTATATCGAGGAGACAGACTTGATGTTGGTGCTAATAGGTCTTTCGTACTTCAATGCTTACTAATCTCCCCTTTTATCGAAGAATAGAAAGCAGGCTTTAAACTTGGAGTCTTTAGTAGGCAGTAGTATCTAGGTCAGATTTATTATTTTGTTTTCGTTCTATTTATCCTTATGTCTCTTCTCTTTATGGCGGGAGGGTGCCGGTATTCATGTTTGGATTCATGTGCAGCTTCCTTTTAAAATAAGTTTAAGTTTTAAAACATGAGTCAATTTAAAACTATTTGCTGAGAACTGTAAAGAATTTAAAACTATTTGCTGAGAACAGTAAAGATGGTATTTGGCTTAAAAAACAAAACAAAAGTAATGTCCGAGGTGGTATGTGATTGCCTGAAAGTTGGAAAACAGGCTGGGGTGAGCCTTCGTCCACTCTTCCAAAACAGCCTTCCCAAAGCAGAGGCTGGGCTTCGGCCTGAAGCTGACTGGCTGCGTAGCTCAGCGAGCCCGTCTTCACCTCCACAGCTCCCCTGAAGTCCTGTGTTTTGTCAAGTCATGCACATTTCACTTTCTACATTGTAAGGTATTCACATTTGTTTTCATGTTAAAATAGGTTTTTATATTTCTAACTGCACCAGCCCCCACTGGGCCCCCCCACCCCCCGAGAGGCCATGCTTCTCCCGGAGCACAGCATGGGGATGAGTCCTCGGGCTTGAGGAGTGTGGTCGCTGAGCCAGGTGATCCACAAGAACACTGAATTTGCGGGGAGACATGGAAAGTCTATGGACACATTTTTACAAAGGAACTCCTGTGTGGAGGGCTTGATGCCACAGATTGGGGGCTGCCTCCTCCCCACCTCTCACCCCTCAAAATGAGGCAGAATGCCAGGTTGGCCACCACCCTCCCTCTGGGGGGCACCTGCGTCGGGGGCATCTGGGTCGTCTTCGGCATCTGCACCAGCTGCAGCTGCGGCGTCGGCTGCGGCTTCGGCCTCCGGTTCCACTCCAGCTCCTGAATCTCTGCGTGGCATTTCCACCAGGGGGACCCCCTGCTGGTCTTCCTCATCCTGATCAGGAGCCGGGCCATCCCGCGGCCATCTCACCAACCCATTGGCTTCCATTAGGTGGGGCTCTCTGTAAGACCAGCGTGGCACATGGCAGCGGATGCACCAGTACTGGAGGCAGATGAAAGCAAGCACAGCTGTGAAGCAGGCCAGCAGAATGGCCAGCAGAACCCACAGGGAGAGCTGGGGGTTTACCAGGTAGCCTCTGGGAACCAGCGGGTTCTTATCCGGGGTGTAGAACATGGTGCAGTGATGCTTGTGGGGGTAGGTAATCTTCTTGCAGCTGACGCACAGGAAGTAGAAAGTGGAAGGGGCGAGGTGCTCGAGGGCCACCCTGCTGACGGTTCGAGGCACCTTCTCCTCATAGTGGAAGCTGTTGCGAATGTAGCCGGTGAAGATGTTGTTCCAGTTGGCCCTGTACATAACATTGTAATGGTCCTCCTGGCAGGGCTCCAAGGGCTTCCAGGAAACGATGGCTCTCGAAGAAGAAAGGTTCCACACCTCGATTTCCATCCTGATCCTGCAACCAGAATCAGAGTGAAGAGTGACTTCCCCTAAATTATTTAGTTATGATCATCACAGCCACTCTTTATGGAGCATTCGAGATGGAGACTAATATTACCCCCATTTTACAAAGAAAATGGAGGCCAAGAGGCAACGTTACTCAGCTAGGCATAGCTAAACAATGGCAGGACAGACGTCCCATCAGGGCTCTCTCATGCCAAAGCTGGTGGCCTTCAGACCTAAAAAGGATGGGCCCACATTCCCCAGTCCCGTCCTGCCCTGGCTCGGATCCTTTACCTACAACGTTGTGCCCAAGCCTTAAAAACAAGAAGAAAAAAGGCAACGAAAGGAGGAATCAGGACCACCTCAGAGTCCCTGCGTTAGTCACCACAGGTCTGAGACCTGCAAGCCAGGCAGGTATTTCACCTAAATTTCCCTTCTGGACCTCTTGCATCTTCTCTAAGTGCTGGTAGCTCCACCATCTAGAACATTCTGCCTCCCAGTTCTGTTGCCCATGGCGAGAGATTTGTTTTGTCACTCATTGGCGGCTCGTTTCTCCCGAAAGCCTCTGCTCTTGTTGTGTTTGTTTTATCAAAGCCAAAGGTACCCAGGAAATAGTTTCATAGATCGATACAATCAGCTGCTAATACCAGCACAGCTGCTACTCTTTATTACTACTGGGACCATGAGTGTTAATAATGGTAATAACCATCAGTTAGCAAGCCATTGCCCTCTCGCAGCTCTTGCTAGCTGTTCAACCTACAGTAACAAGTTCCCTTTATTCGTCATCACACCCTCTGAGCTAGATTTCCATTCTACAGATGAGCAATCTGAGGTGACTCAGCTAATAGGAACCAGCCTCAAAGCCACTTCACCGCTGGATATTCAGAGCAAGGTTGCTGGGTTTAGTAATAGAATGTTACTGCGACAGGAGATGATGGTGCTAGGACCCGTTGCTGTTTTACCAGACAAATCCAGCGAGCTGTCTTCAGATTGCCAGCCCTCTGGCTTTGGGAAGGGAGCGCCATCCTCAAGCCTTTTCGTTTCTTTTTCATTCTGCGTATTTCCCCCTCACTCAATTTCCCCTCATCGAAAATCCAGGGGCAGCCATATTCAACCTGCGTATGTTGACGTATAGGTCTCCCCCTGCTCTGTCCTCTGCTCCTCCTCTCCCATGAAATACGGATGGTTTTGTTTCAGGTTGCAGTGACACAGTCAGAAAACAATCCGATTTTAACTAGAATTGGAAATTAAGCCAGACTGGCTTCCAGGAGGAGCTGCTCTCCTCCCTGCCTCCCCACCCGCCCCCCTCCCGCTTCTGTTTTCCTGCCCGTGTTCCTAGAGGGGGTGAGCTGCAGAAAGACGCATCGCATCAAGTGCTTTCGCAGTCCTTGTTTTCCTTCTCTAAGGATGACAGTGAACTGAAATGCTCAGGAAGGGGAGTCGTTCCTTTCTATGGAAATTTCCTCCCAGGAAAATGGGGCATGAAAGGGACGAAACAGGTGTGTGTGCTCAGATCCCTCCAGGGGAGGTCATTGCGAAGGAGACTGACTATGTACGCTCCCTCTCATGCACACCCATCCACGCCACCCAGCACCCCACACATCCCTGTAAATACACCTCCGACCACAGTGAAAGAGCTTAATTCATGATTAAGGACATAGAAGCAATGGCCCTCGTAAATTGCTTCCACCAGGGGTGATTAGCAATCCCTTTCTTGTCGTGAATCTTCTCCCCTGTTTGCCTCCCCTCTGCAGCAGGCTGTCTTTGCAGACTGAGTTCCCCACAGCAGACATTTTTAAGAGCTTTCTGTCAAGATGCTAACAGCATCCTCAGCTTTTAGGACCAAATCTGCCTCCCTTAATTTTTCTTCCTCTGCTTCTGTTTGGAAACACCCCCACCCCCCACCCCCTGTGCGTAGCTATGTATATTACCATTGCCTGGCCCTCCTCCAAGCTGAGTAGGAAAGGAAAAGCCATTTCCATTTCCAAGAAGAGCCGTTTTCCCTCTTACCTGATGCTTGTGTGCTGATGCCAGTTAGAGCGTAGCCTTCAGAGGCAGGATGGACCCGAGCTAAGGAAATGGTGCCTTTCCCCCTCTCCTCTGGGCTCTCCTTGATGTCTCTCTCGCCACTGTCTGAGTAATCCCACTGCCGCCCCCAACGCTCACACTATTCATTTCTTCAGATCAGCATCATTCACCATGGCAACCAGCAGGCATAAGTACGCAGGATGCTTTCGGGACCAGTCTGGAAAGGCTTTTGTCCAATAAGAGGAGCTCTTGTTTATTTGGGGAGGGAAAAAAAAGGCAAACAAATCTGATCCTCAGAGTGGTATTCTTCCAAGGCTCCTAAA